CTCCTCCCAGTTTTGTATCATCAGCAAACTTGCTGAGGGAGCACTCTGTGCCTTCATCCAGGTCATTGATGAATAAATTGAACAGGACTGGACCAAGGACTGACCCCTGGGGGACCCCGCTAGCTACAGGCCTCCAACTAGACTCTGCACCGCTGATCACCACTCTCTGAGCTCTGCCATCCAGGCAGTTCCTAATCAACCTCACTGTCCACTCATCTATCCTACACTTCCGGAGCTTGCCCAGGAGGGTATTGTGCGGGATGGTGTCAAAAGCCTTGGTGAAGTTGAGATAGACGACATCATCTTCATGAGTGACTTTGGCTTTCTCTTCAAAAATCTTATCTGTGTCTTGAAGGATATGCAAACAACTAAGTTTTGCATAGTATATTTAGAAAGTAACCTTGATTTTTTTGTACCATATAGTAGTTTCCTTCAAATTGCTTTCTTCACATACATTTGCTTGTTTAAGGGGCAATTTAGAAATACAATTATCCTCTGCATGTGCAACAATTACATTTATATATTGTGGGATCCATTAATGCAACTTAATAAATTATTTTGAATATCTTCTGTTCATTGATAGAGTCCTTTTGAAATGAAATATTTTCATATTTAACGTGTACATCATTCATTATGAATGAAATAAAGTTAATATTGCTTGTATTTATTAAAGCAAAAACTTTCTCCTCTTATTCTCCCCTAATATGTTAAAATATTTACCTAAGACAAGATTATCTTAATAACTATATATGCATATAAGACGAAACAAGCAAAAATTCAGGCAATTTTTAAGTTTATAGGGGGGATAGTGGAAAGTCTGTCATAACTCCAATTAATAAAAATATGCAAGCACAGTTTATTCTTGGTTTCACAAATAAAGGGATTAAATTGTTACAAATACAGTTCAGTTTTTCTGAGACATAATTTCTCTCTCTCTTCTATTTTTTTCAGCAACCAATAGAAGAAAATTACAGGATCAAGTAAAGGCCATTTTGGATCATTTCCTTTTTCAGTACATGAATCCCTCCGGATGCCATCTGTTTCATGAAAAGCTCTGGTGTTTTGTCTCTATAACCTTGGATAGTAAGCAAGTGAACAAATTTTTTAATTTGATTAGAGCAGGATATATCTACTTGTTTTTCTTTAAATGTATTTTACGATTACTCCCCTTTCACTTTATGTATGGTAAACTAATGCAGTTCCTTAGTGCACTGTTTCATCAAAACCATTTCACTTCTGCCCTACTGAGATTTACAAGAGCTTTATAAATTGTATTTCTTGGCTTCTTACCTAGCATCAGATCTAAAATCTAAGCATATTTTGAAATTAATTCATTGCCTTACTGTGAATATTAAGTCACAGTAATATTTCACATCTACTTTATGTTTTACCTTTGCTTACCATTTTCTTTTTTGTATAACTTTCAATTCAGCTAAGCTCTACATCTCAGAAATACTTTTTAATTCTTCTGTATTATAACTTTTGAATTTTCTTTTATTTAAAATGCATATAATGAAAGGATAACAGAGCAGTATTCTTTCAATCTTGGCTAGAATTTGTGGAAGTGTTTAATTTCCATAGGCTTATCTCCTCTTTTTTAGGACAAATATAAAAGATATAACTTGGAATTTTGATTTACTTCTCCATTTTAAATGTTAGCAAAAGAACTAATAATTCCTCCTATTCTATAGCAGACTCATACTTTTTTTTTTAGTATATTTTATTCTTATTTTGATCTGAACATAACATATGCATAAGCCCACAAGCTAGGAGGCTTAGAGTGACTGAGCTGTTTGACCCCAATACAGGCAAAAAGCCACGTCTGGGCAGCCTCATTTACATTATTTATAATGTTCCTTCATCATAGTTTCAGTTACTGTATTTTGTTATTTTAGCTGGAATTTCCTGGATTGCTTATGCCCTTGCTAAGTTTGTTATTGATCAAGGACGTAGGGGATAGAAATTTCATCAGAATAATGCTTCACACTCTTCATCTCACTAAGAAGGTCATTAGTTCTCGCTGCTTCAGAAAACTGAGAACAGCTCCTCTGCTACCAGGAATTCCCACAAAACTGTTTTCATGGTACCTTGGTGTTGACTGCAGTAAGGTAATGCAGGATGTATTGCTCTTTGCCAAGATAAATCATTCCTACAATAACAAGGCACATTCGATTGTACACCTTGTGCATTTGATGGATGGACTTTCAATTTGGAATCTTCTCTAGGTACTTTTAAGCAGAATATTGCTGAGCCACTAGGTCAGGACGCTTTCAGGGTCCTTTAACTGAAGAGATTTTTCCTATTCAAAATGCTGACTAATGATTTTAGCCTTTTTTGTTGAAAAAGTGACAGTGTAGCTATGTTTTGCTGTATAAGTAATAGCTAACTGAATGTGAGTATAAATCCTAGAAACTGTGCAAGATCTCAGCTTTAAAATATGTGGCAATGGGCAATGAACCTGATTTTTGGAATAGATTTATATTTAGCAGAAGCCTATGTGTTATAGACCAAAGATTTTTATTTAAACATTTTGGGGCATTCCATCCCAGGGATGGACTCTGTCTTCTACAACAGAATATTCTGAAAAGAGTGGAACTAGGCAAATCTGAATTAACATCAATAATACCAAGAAACCTATAGGACACAGTCACGTTTCAGTGAGGGTCTTACTTTAACAAGTAATAACAGAAGCAGAATAGTGTACAGTTGATATCACAAACCATGACAAACAGTAGAAAATTTTATTTTGTAGATTTGCAATGCAGATCCCATTTTTAACTGAGAAGAAACTAGATTAGGGGTAGCAGAACTGATGCCATAGAATTGCATCTGATGGTTCTGAACCAGAGCAGCACTCATGCAGAAGTTATTCTCGATATCCGGCTCTGTTACTGTAAAGTCTGATTTCACCCATGAGCAGCATTTTACATAAGTGAATGTTACTGTGTAGTTTAGAATGCTGGACCATAAGTCAGATGTTTAGTAGTTGTATTTTTGGTTATATTCATTGTATTTTTGGTTATATTATATATTTGGTATTCTATTTGGATTTTGCTTATTTTATTGAATGCTGATATGGTTAATATATTTCTTTTTTCTTTCCCTTCCCTTCCCTTCCCTTCCCTTCCCTTCCCTTCCCTTCCCTTCCCTTCCCTTCCCTTTCATATTTTTGAGGGAAAAGCTACTTCTAAAGAAGAATAAGACTTAATTCCAATACCTCAAAAAGTGGCAACACAGTGTCCAGTGTAGTTCTTTATCTCAGGAAATATCCTCCTACACAGATTACATTCATTTCCTGTTGTTTTCATTGACATTTCGAACAAGGATTATAGAATCATAGAATGCTTAGGGTTGGAAGGGACCTCTAGAGATCATCTAGTCCAACCGCCCTGCATACGCAGGGACACCTAGAGCACGTGGAACAGGACTGCATCCAAGCGGGTTTTGAAGATCTCCAGAGAAGGAGACTCCACAACCTCTCTGGGCAGCCTGTTCCAGTGCTCTGTCACCCTCACTGTTAAGAAATTTTTCCTTAAGTTCCTATGGAATTTTTGATGTTTCAGTTCCCGGCCATTTCCTCTAGTCCTATCAGTGGCCACCACTGAAAAGAGACCATCACCGTCCTCTGCACTCCCTCCCTTGAGGTATGTATAGACACTGATTAGATCCCCTCTCAGCCTTCTCTCCTCCAGGCTGAACAGGCCCAGCTCCCCCAGCCTCTCCTCATAGGGCAGATGTTCCAGGCCCCTGAGCATCCCTGTGATGGACTCATTCCAGCAGCTCCACATCCCTCTTGTACTGTGGAGCCCAGAACTGGACACAATACTCCAGATGCGGCCTCACCAGGGCTGAGTAGAGGGGCAGGATCACCTCCCTCGACCTGCTGGAGATGCTCTTCTTAATGCAGCCCAGGATTCCATTGGCCTTCTTGGCCACGAGGGCACACTGCTGCCTCATGGTCAACTTATCATCCACCATGACACCCAGGTCTTTCTCCGCAGAGCTGCTCCCCAGAAGGTCAGTCCCCAGCCATCCGCGTCGCCCCTCAGTTCACGCGGCAGGCGCGGAGCAGCAGCAGCTGCAGCTGGATGAAGACGGGCGCCATGACCAGCCCGTACCAGAGCTCGCGCGTGCCCTCTGCCAGCTTGTGGCACAGCAGCAGCTCGAAGACGAACTGGAGCCCCAGCACGGTGAGCACCCAGAGCCGCCGCAGCACGGCCAGCCGCTTCTCAGCAAAAGGAAGAGCAGGGAAAACGTGGGTCCGCTGGTGAACGGGATGGGCACCCTGGTTACAAATAACACAGAAAAAGCAGATTTGCTGAATGCCCTCTTTGCTTTGGTGTTTACCAAGGGCAGCCCTTTAGAGCCCCAGGCCCTAGGGACAAGAGAAGAAGCCTGGAGAGAGGAAGACTCCCCCTGAGTAGAGGAAGATTGGGTCAGAGAGCACCTAAGGAAACTCGATACCCACAAATCCATGGGCCCTGATGGGATGCACCCCAGAGTGCTGCGGGAGATGGCAGATGTCATAGCTAAGCCACTCTCCAGCACCTTTGAAAGGTGCCAGAAGACTGGAAGAAGGCCAATGTCACGCCAGTCTTCAAAAAAGGCAAGAAGGAGGACCCAGGAAACTACAGGCCAGTGAGCCTCACCTCCGTCCCCGGAAAAGTGATGGAACGGCTCATACTGGCTGTTGTCTCCGGGCACGTGGAGGACAAGAAGGTGCTCAGGAGTAGTCAGCATGGATTCACCAAGGGGAAATCTTGCTTGACTAATCTGATAGCCTTCTATGATGGATTCCCTGATCTTCCTTTTGCTGTTAATGTATTTGAAGAATTTTTGTTATTTTTAACATCCCTTGCCAGCTTGCCTTCCAGATGTGCCTTAGCTTTCCTTGTATAGTTTTACCAGCTATCCACACAATACATATTCTTGGATGTTTGACCAGGACTGTCTGTAGTGGCTAAGGATCTGTTTCCTGAAGCCATGACTTTCTCCATGAACACAGCACCTTGAAATTGATTATCACAAATCTGAAGTACCTTGGTGAGAGTTGCTTTCACATACAACCAAATTTATAGTGCCACATGTTAACATTTTTGCTGTTATACAAAAAATGTTTAATGGAAAACTATATTTTTTACAACTTTATAAAGATTACTGCCTTTAATGGTTAATATTTTAAATGGAAGATGTGTAAACCACCTTAATTCCAAAAATTGTAATAGATAGTAAACCACATACTTTCATCCAAGACAAAGGCAACTGCAAGGATGTTCAGGAATTACAGTTTTGGCAAGACAATGCTATGATGTAGAAGACTAGCTGGCTCTGTTTTTTAAGGAAACTAAATCCAGAGGCTGGGAGTCAGCACAGAGATTTGGTTCCTAATTTACATTATGGAAAAGATTCAAGACAAGAAAGAAGGAGAAAGGATAGATTTTTCAGAGGGCAATTCTTCAAAAGGGATAGATAGTCTTTGCCCTGAGAGGGACAGAAGGGCATATGTGAAGGAGACAAAAAAAAAAAAAAAAAAAGATATTCTTATTTGAGTATCTTTTGCTGGTAAGTGCCAAGGATGTCCCTTTTTTCTTGGTGGACTGAAAGTAAAAGACTGCTTCGAAATTTGTAGAGATGATTGTGACACTTGCTATACTTGGTGCTGTGAGTCATGGCAGCCTTGGGTAGTGAAGGAGGAAAGCAGCAGAGATTCACCTAAACAGGTAGATTTATGGAGCAAAGAATTTGAGATGTCATGAGATGCTTAGTACTTCGTATGTCTACCAGAACAACTTTTTTTTTTTTTTTTTTTTCCAATTAGAAGGAGAGCATAATAATGGCTATTGTATTTTTGATGTATTTTATTTACAGGGAAGAACAACGGAAAAGATTATGAGAAACAGAAAAGGACTAACGGAAGTGTATATATAGGCACTTTTAGAAAATCATATTATTTGCTCTACTTTTTTTTTTTTTTCTACTTAAAAGAGTAACACATCTGTAGATGTGTCTGTACGTTTTACCTCTGGAAGTCTTTCTATAGGTAAAAGGTTTAAAAGGATAAATATAACCTGAGGCATACAGAATGGCTCCTACTGTGAGACCCCTTTCAGAGCCTGTGTGCTTAGTGTCAGACATGTTAAGTTATATAAGATTACGTGTGTTATTTTGTGAATGGGAAAGAATAAAGATTTAAGCTCTTGCCCGTCTTAGTTGAACTGGATTTCACACAATTCACTCCATATTGGCTATTTATTTTGTCTTCCACAGCTTCTGCATGGGCACAATAGCTTCATCCATTCCTTTGACAATTGTGTAAGATAGAAGAAGAATTCTTATGTTTTATTACTAACTTTCACACTTACACTTGAAAAGACAGAATAAATTATATTTGTCATTTTAATTTGCACACTAATTATGTGCTATAGCTTACATAATAGCTTTAATGAGGTCAGAGGGCAATTTGACAAACATTTAGTTGATTCAGAGAAAAAAAAATAGTCTGGAATTTATTGAGGTTCCACATTTAAATCAGTAACTTTGAACTATAGTATTTTCATGGGAGTTTCAGATTTAAATGACAAAGAGTATGAATGATTTTGAATTTTAACATTTTCCCTATAATAACAACAACAACAAAAAGGGTATTACCCATAATATCTAGCCTAAATCTCTGTAGGTTCCATATCTTGGCCAGGACAGATATTAACAAACAGAGAAATTTCTCACCATTTAGCTACTGAAGATTAATCTAGTCATTTATTTCTAGTTTAATACACAAGAATAGCTTTATTTGTCTCAAATATTAAGACCCTCACTGTCAGGAAGCAGCAACAGTGGGACTGCTCCAGGAGGGAGGACAAGCTGAAGGTTACCACAGTGTGGATGGGGCAGTGCCCTCCCTGACCAAGGCACAGTCCCACAGCAGGCTAGCACAGCCATGGGGTTATAGCAACATCTCCTGTTGGCAGTGCAGTGATCATCAAGTGTAAGGAGACATGTGAGGTCAAAGACCAATCTGGGAAGTCCACCAACAAGTCAGGAGCAGTAAGGGTTGAGGCTGAGTACAGGAACACCTGAGGGAGCTTGAGCACTCTGAGTGCCGAGGCCTGATCTTAACTGGAGCCCCTGACCCCGTGGTGTTGGTAGTGAGGTTCAGATGAGGCTGGTCTGGACAATTTCAGGAGGCAATTTAGGCAACTTAATGCGGCCGATACACCAAGAGCCTCTTTTGAAGTCTATTAAATTTTTCAACATCCCTTTCTGAAGTGTGCACATTGGAATTGTATTCCCCATACTCTATTTTGCTCATTTTGCTGCCATTAATGAAATATAAAGCTAACCATGACTTCATGTTAAGTAATATGGAAATTATTTATTATATATTTTTCCATATTGGAAGAAAATCACCCTCAGAGCTATTAGAAAGCATTACATTCCCATGCTCAGTTGGTTATTTAATATTAAGTCTAAACATTTTTCTGGTACTATTTTTAAGGATATATAATCCATTCTACAGTTAGGACTGACATTCACGTTGGTAGTTGTTTCCCCTTTTGGTAACTTTATAAAATTGCATCTGTGATCCTTTTATTTATTTTAAAAACTCTTAATCTAACATCCTGTTTTCTTATTTACAAAAACAATATATATATTTTTATTATAGAAGTCTATCCTGCCTGTAGAGTGTTTTAGGATTTTATACGAGTGTAGAATTTATTTAGTACAAGACATAAGACAACTTATAGTAGGTTTATGACTTGCTGGTAACCTAAGATAAGAAGAAGTTTTAGAACTTATCTGATCTGCAAGCAGTTCTTTTTCCAATAGCAAAGGCAGTCCACCTGCTGGAAGATAGAGCTGATGGAGTTTCGTTCCTTAGTTCAGCTTTAAGACTTAAAATCAGTTCAGTGATAAAATCTTTCTAGTAAAGGTAAGATGCTATGGATGTTCATGTATACACATTCAGCTGCTGCTGTTTCACAGGCATCTGCAGCATGCATATCTCCCAGAAAGTCTTGTGAAGATAGTTGGCTGTTAGTTATCTCTCCTTTAAGAAAAGCGTGTTTACAGTCTGCAGATTTGTGGATTTATTTAAGTTTTTATTTAAGTGGATTTATTTACTTCTCTTAAATGCTAAAACATGAACTACCCAAACATCCAAACTCACAAGAGCTGGTAAATAACTTGATGTTACAAGTAAAACATGAATGTAGAACATGTCTATAACTAGACAAAAGTGTACAAAATTTTACTACCCACATTTTTAAAATGCTATGTAAAAGCGAAATACATTCGAAGTTCATTTCTGTCTTTCAGCTTAAGTATCATAAAGTCATGGGTCATAAGCATGTGTTTGTGAAGAACTTGGTATAGCATAAAAATACTGTTTATCTTCTTGCATACATGAAATGAAATAGATACCTAAAGTTATTTGTTTAGTTAACCTAAAGTTATATGTTTAGTTAACATAAATATATAACAAATATTAAGTAAGGTATAATATGGCACATATTTCAATATATAGTGCATAAAGCATAGTTATGCAATACATAATATATGATATTAAACAAATAAAATTAGTTGTAAGTAATTGGGGGCATGTAATTATTCACAATATTTACTTAAGTATCCCCAAATTAAAATTGTTTAACTGAAATTATACAAAATATGGTGTAATTACTACAGTTCATCAAATAATTTGCAAACCTAAAACAAACACAACATGAGAGGAAAAATAAATTGCAGTACAATTTGAATTCCTTTATAAGAAAAGTACCTGCTAAGTGATGATGGAACAGAAGGCTGATGCATAAGCTTGAGCCCAAGACCAAGCAACAAAATAGTCAATACAACTAAATAGTATAGAAAGGGAGTAGCTCATTGAAGGTATATGCAGAAGTAATAAGATTTTATGTTAGCAAATATTATGTTGATCCTAGGTGTATGCATGTGCAGAATGAACAGAGTGGATGAGAATAAAAAAGAATCAGTATCAGCTAAACAGAAATGAAAAGAGTGGAAACAAAAACAGTGGGAGTAATAGCATAAGAGAAAAGAGATTATGAGAGCTGGGGACAAGGTGAGGGAGGTATGAAAAAGATCAGCGCAAGGCAGCAGAGGGAATCAATAAACCATAGGAAGTTCCCAGGATGTGTGAAGATACAAGCTTTATTGCCTCTACTTGATGCTTAATAACTTTCTCTTTGCAATTTTACCCAAGGAGCA